CACCACACACATATATATATATATATATATATATATATATATATATATATATATATATATATATATATTATACATAATATATGTAAGCGCACACACACACACGCGCGTATATATATATATATATATATATATATATATATACATATATATATATATATATATATATAGATATATATATATATATATATATATATATATATATATATATATATATATCCATACATACATACATACATACATACATATATATATATATATATATATATATATATATATATATATATATATATATATATTTATATATATATATATGTACATTTATGTATATATATATATATATATATATATATATATGAATGTTATAGAAATGGAGAGATGAAACAGTGTATTTACAGAAAAAGTTGCAGGGACAGTGTGCGCCCTTGCCGTATAGAGAACATTCCACATTGCAGACATGCAGACAATCATACATGTACGAATGCCTCACTCATATGATATTTCTACCGCATAGACACATAACCTACCCTTTCGATATCGACATCATCGCGAGGCGTCGACGCCGCCAATATGTTGAGCTTACTATTTTGACCTACGCCCGTGGTCAACGGACTTCTAGATATGTCTACATTACTAATCTTCCGGCCGGAAAACCCTTTGCCTGCGGCCGATTGATACCAATTGGGGTCCAGTGTAAGATTCATTTCTTCCTTCTTGTATATGATCACATCTACTATACACCGTTTGAAGTCGTCAAAATCCTTGAGATGCGTACGCACACTTGTGCGATCGTATTCATGCCCGGCATATGTGTTATCTATCCTCTCTATGTTATCATCGTTAGCAAAGGTAATGTGCCTCCTGAATCTAGGTCCAATACTGGAGAATTTTGACATTAATCGAGTCCTCCGTGACGGTTGGTAGTGGCTGTGACGTGCCAGACTTGAGTTAGAATGCGTCCCCCCATGCCTTAAACTTGTTGGACCCATTTTGAAGTACATATATATATATATATATATATATAGAAGTGTATATATAGCTGTATATATGTGTACTTCGGTATATATGTACTGTTTGGTATACGTGAATGCCAATATGTATGTATACGTGTATTGACTTCCCTCCTATAGTTCAAGTAATATAAGTAGGCATTGTCCGTTGTCTGAACATCTGTAATGATAAACCTTGGATGGACCGCAACAACACCACCGTCCAAACACCTTCTAAACGGCAAGGTTAACCCTGACTGTGACCAGTGACGCTTTCATATGGCTTTAAAAAACAGTAACAATATATGTAAATATGGTAAATAAAAGCCTGATCTTATATCAATTCGATAATACATACATTATTACATTTCTATGTGCAGTTGATATAGTGAACAGAAAGAGCATTTGTTTTTGAAAAAAAAAACATTCAAAAAACAGCTGGCGGTCAGAACCCCCCCTTGCTGCCCCCAGCAGGTGGGTCCAGGACTCCAGGGCCAAGGCTCAAGCTCTAGTAGAGCCCCAGACTCGGAGGAAGTTCAGAAGTTCAGATATTTTTATTTTCGTATTAGTATCTAGTTAATGTTCGGTACTGCACTCGCGTGTGACACCTTGACACCTTGACATTTATATTTGCACTAATATGTATCTATTGTGTGTTCATTTTTGGGGGGTTCTCTGAGGAGAGAGATACGCACACCCATTATATTTTAATTAAAAAACGACCATAGTCTGTTTTAAAAGGTATAGTAAAACTAGAATCGAAAGGCGTGTATTCTAAACACAAGCAACAGCATACGTTGCGATAGTAGCATCTTTGTATGATACATACCTGGATAGAATATATGTGCAGATTCTGCGCACAGGCATACTTTGGAATTATCGGCCATGATTAGAGTATCTTTTATATATAAACATATATATGTCAATATCGCAAAACTGACCAAATGTTAAGCGCCGTTTTAGATCAATTGGCCATATGAGTCATGTCCGATGCTGGCGTGGTCGCCCGCACTCTATAGATGTGCTGAATCTATCGAGGAAGCGTACTTGCTGGACGTTACACAGTCACATGTACGCGCAATTACACAGCAATGTATCACTACACCGGCAACCGCGCTATACTCCAAATTCGAATGGATATAAGAATATATGCTCGCCCAGGAATAGTCAGGTCCACACTGGGTGCAATAGAAAAATAGAGCCGTGCAAGAATGATTTATCTTCTCGGCTGTCCATCTATTCTGATATAAACTCTGTGAATAGGCGTGCGGAAGGAGGTACGCGTTTGACTGCTTCTCGATCAGCCCCGTCTATTCGAATGTACATGACTGCATGTACGCCGCTGAAGATACCCAACAGTAGGCCATCGTGTCGCTATAGTAATAAGGAAACACAAAGTCTAAACATTACACACACCCATATAAGGCAGTTAGGGTCAAACAAATCTGGTTCATTCTTGTCACCCAGCAATGCTGACCGGTACGCTATAAGCGCTAGTCTGACACAGCGAACAAGGGGAGTAGATATAGCGCATAGTGAGAAGTCATGTATCAAAGACACCACATTTAGGTATATGCGTTCACATGGTCCCAGCATATCAGTACCGCGATCAATGCGGTATAGTCCGGCAGCTAGTGCCACAGAAGAAATGAATCTCGCGAGTATGCGAGGGAGACCCACATTCTCGCATATACACGCGGGAAGGCCTATCAGAACCTGTTCAATACTGAAAACTCAACAAACACGAAGTTATAGTACAGGAGAAAGCAGTACTGACTCACCTGCGCAGGCACTAGTTGATGGCAGTACTGAAAAATCCACACATCCGGCTTCCGATACTATTAGTAATGAAAAGTTTGCCAGTGAAATGAAGCCAGATCCTCCTAGAGAAAAGAAAAGTCCACAATTTTATAAGTCACTGAGTAGACAGCTTAAGCAACGACGTGAGCTGAAGTACCAAGAGCACAGATTAGGCCAGGCCCGTGCTTGGGAAAAACCAATGACAGGCGATGAATTCATAGCTGGCTTTGTTCGAATTCTATCTGACAACGGTGTGCCGAAACCATCATCACGCATCAATCCAAACTCGACATTGCGAGCGCTCAAGGCGATACATAATATCTGTGATCTGCCAAGTGCAGGAAGGTAAGTGACTCAATGTGGGTACGATATTATATTTGCGTATGTTAAGAGCGGTGTTGTAGTATGTTTTTGTATTTCATTCTATTGATTCTAAAATGTTTATATATATGGATAGATATAACAAACACACTACCGCCCCCCCCCCACACACATATATTTATATATTTATATATTTACACTTATATATATA